GCCTTGGAACAAACCGACGGGGTTCGTTATCACGCGGACCTAGAGTCGAGGAGACATCGAGTGGTTCAGTTGTCTCAACAACCAATCACTCATATCTCTGCCAAACTCATGACGGAGGAATGGACACTCGTCAAAAGGGCTCGTTCGACCCTCAAAGAACGTATACAAAAGCGTCGTGCAAACGTAGCTCATGCTCGTGCTCTCTTACAACAAAGACGAGAAAGAAACAAAGAAACGGTGGTCAAAGAACCACCAAAACTCTGCAAAGTTAGGATTCCAAAATATGGAGTTGTGCAAAATCAGCATTCGGAGTCCGTTAAGATTCCATGCCCACAAGGGGGTGGTTCTAAACGTGTGATTCCCGACATAACCTTGGATCATTCAAAGACAATAATAAGTTGTCCTGAGAATGCCAATAAGGTTTTACAATTCACCAAATGATATCGTCATACCTGGGAGGTCATGCCAACAGACGATACGATTTTTTGGCAATCATACCGATGAATCGTATTATCAAGTTGGGGGTGTGAATAAATTTCGAAAAGGAATTATTCGCTCTCATTGTTCCTGTGCACGACTTATAAGATCAGCTGTCCAAGATGATGAATTCCCTGAAGTCACCATCAACGTGGCTGATAAAAAAAAGTCTAAGCGGCATTCAAGTGACTCAAATCCTGACTTTTCCCCGAGAGGAAGAGACAATCCAAGAATTGCTCAAAGGATGTCTCGACTCCAATTAGGAGCCATCAGACACAGAAATTACAAGAGAATGCAAGAAGGAATGTCCTCGGAGGATGAATTCTCGGACACTTATTCTGCAATCGCTTCTGATGATACAATGTCTAGTACGGGACAAACCAGAGAAGTACTCACGATCACCTCTGATCAATTTGCTCAAATACTTCAAGAAGCTCTAGCCAAACAACGTGAAGAAATTAGAGCTGAAGTGAAGACAGAAATGGAGTTAGCTATCCAACAAATGAGAGAATTGCTAGCTCAGCGGCCTCAACCCCCTGAGTCCAGTCAAAGAACTGAATCCAGCCGCCACACTCAGAAAGTTGTGGATGACAGTGATCCAGAAGTGGATGAAGTCATTATGGCTGATATACCTCCTAATAGCAATAACGCTGGGGGTGGTTTAACGGATCCTCCCAATAACGATATTAGGGATGGTTCAATAGCACCTCTCACAGGGGGTGGTCTAACTTATTCTCGTCAACGTCCTTCGAATGAAGACATAGACGAGGACGAGAAAATGAAAGAGCTTGAAAACAAAATCAACGCTTTGATGACGGCTCAAGAAGTAAAAAAGACGGGTATTCCGTATCCCTATCTAAGAGAATGAAATTCAATACCGTACCCGGCAAAATTCAACATGATTAACTTCACACCGTTTGACGGGAAGAACTCGCCTATTCAGCACTTGATTTATTTCAAGTTCGGTCATTCGTTGGCACCCATCGTGGGTCCGCCTTCGATTGGTACCGACGGCTCAAGCCAGGGAGCATCAATTGCTGGGATAACATGGAAAGTTTGTTCTTCAGCAATTTCTTCGATGATGACACCGAAGTGTCAATCGAAACCCTTTTGGATGAGAAGCAAAAAGACAGAGAGTCAGTTGACAATTTTGTCAAACGTTTCCGTAACAAAGCAATGAATTGCAGAGATCCTATTACAGAGGAGTTCATCCTGCAAACATGCCACAATAACCTCTCCATTGATGTCCTGGAAGCTCTGGGGGTCGTGCCATCCACAACTTGGAAGGAGTTAAAATCTCGGGGTGAACAAGCTGAGCATTTTCTTAAAAGAAAGAAAGCCGAGAGAGGCCAACCAATGACATCTGCAATCGTTGAGAATGCGACTCTCGATCCGAGGTTTCAAAAGGAATATTCTTTCGAAGATGATGAAGGTCCAGCCATCTTGGAATACCTCCTCGCCAATGACAAAATCGAGCTACCACCTATTAAAGATCAGGATGGAGCTAAGAGGATTACGGATCCAAACTACTGTGCGTACCACAGAAGGGTTCTTCATCCCACCGAGATTTGCTTTGGACTTAAAAACAAGATCCAAGCCCTAATTGACTCTGGCGTCATAACGACGAAAGAAGTCGAGTAAAGA